CAACGCCCAGGCCCCGCAACGCCCAGGCCCCATAACGCCCAGGCCCCGCAACGCCCAGGCCTCACAATGTCCAGGCCTCACAATGTCCAGGCCTCACAACGCCCGTGCCCTCCTGCGCTACTCCCTCCGGGCTTGGTCTGTTTTCCCAGCCCACCCAGGCGCCATCCCGGGCCCTCCCGTCCAGGCTAGGGGAGGGCAGGATGTTAGGGGGTGCTGTTGGCCCATCGTGTCTCTTTCCTTACAGGTACAATGAAGTGAAGAAGAAAATGGACCCCGGCTTCCCCAAGCTCATCGCAGACGCCTGGAATGCCATCCCCGATCAACTGGACGCCGTGGTGGATCTGCAGGGCAGTGGTGAGCCATGCGGGCCTCTGGCCGCTTTCTAGGACTCCCCGCCCCCAGCCAGGGCCCCGCACAAGCACACACACTCCTTGTGCAGAGGCGGGGGGCGGGGAGACCAGCCAGCCCCTGCAGCCCAGCGTCGGGAAGGCGTCCAGACCCCTGACCTCTGTCACTCGGCCGGCGCTCACAGCTGCAGGGCCCAGAGCCAGGGCGGGGGAGGACAGGGGCCAGCGGGGGGACGAGAAACTTGGGCTCTGTGCCTTGCATTCATTGGAGTTTGATCCAGGCCCCTCTGAGTTCCACAGGAGGCCTTGTGACCGCCTCCCATCCGCAGAAGGATGACTCCATTCCAGACAGCACAAACTGTGTCGTGCCTTGTTGCTGATGTGGCAAAGATCCTCCACACAATACAGTTTCCCGATGGTTCCTTGCCGGATAAAACACAAGCAGTAGGGATAAATTTGGAGTGTGAAAGCCATATTCCTGTGGAAGCTTCTATGAGCTCTGTAGAGCCCTGGAAAATGAGTCTCACCCGCCTTTTAGAGGCACTTTCAGTTAAATTTTACAGATTTTTTTTTCAAGTCTTTATCAAAAGCTGGCTAATGACAAAGGGCTGGACCGCCATTGGCAAAAGATCTCACATGTTTCCAAGAAAAGGCAGCACAAAACCTGCTAGTTGTAAGGATTATCTCCAGGAGTAAATAGCTGTTGAGCACCCACTCTGTGCCAGGATTTTAAAAGTAAATGACATCATGTAAGGTGTCACACATTTCAAAGTGCACAGGGACCCACACTAGCACACGAGTGGAACAGTCCAGGCAGACAGTAGGGAGTGGTGAGGTCTGTGGCGAAGCAGAGAACACATGACTCAGTTACAGGGAATCGTTGCTGCTCTCCTCCTAGTTGTTTTGTTTATTTTCGTTGTTTTTTTTAAAATTTATTTATTTGTGCATATAAGAACTGGGGTACAGGCCAGAGGTGGGGGGTGAGAGGACTCACCAGAGACAGAGTAGGGAGCAGAAAAGGCAGATCTACTGAAATATACTACTGAGGGGAGCAGCGGGGAGACAGGAGGGGTCTGCTGTGCCATGTGGGTCACTCCCTGGCCAGGGATCGAACTCGTGCTGCTTCATAGTGCTGTGCTTTAATTCCTTGCGCCACCAGGGAGGCCCAGCCATGCCCCTTGTATCAGCCTCACGGGGTCCTCTCTGGTTTAAAAGCACCTTCCAGTGGGCGGGCCAGCTCCCACACTCCCTGCCACCTCCACACGCCAGCACCTGGCCGGTGGAGGGGGCCCGTTCCAGCCTCTCCTTTCTCATTCCAGGTCACAGCTACTTCTTCAAGGGTGCCTATTACCTGAAGCTGGAGAACCAAAGTCTGAAGAGCGTCAAGTTTGGAAGCATCAAATCTGACTGGCTGGGCTGCTAAGCCGCTCCTGTCCACAGACCCCTCCTCTCTGTTACCTCCATGCAGAGGGGCTCCGGGACCCTGGCACCAGGGAAGCCCCGGGTGGGCCTGGCAGCCTTCAGCTCTGTAGTTAATCAGCATTCTCACCCCGCCTGGTAATTTAAGATTCCAGAGATGGGCTCTGCCCTGTGCCCGAGAAAAGGTGCTGATTGTACCCCTCCAGGTGCCACTGCCTGCCCACCACCCATCCGCCCTCCAGAACCACCCCAAAGGGGTACCTTGGTATTTTGATGCAGCCCAGCCTGGGGCTGTTGTCTCTGGTGCTGCCCCCTCTCCGGCTCATCCCGCACCACCTCCGTGGCTCACAGCATCTGCAGACCCAGCAGACTCAGGAGGGCGCTGGTGACCCTTCCTGGCCAGCCCAGAGCTGCAGGGCAGGGCGTGGCCGCAGCCAGCACAGACACCTGGCGTCAGGCAGGCACTTTCTTCTTTCCTTTGCTCTTTTCCATTTTCCCACTCTGAAGCTGGAGTCGGGTTGTCCGAAGAAGCTTTGTCACCCCGATGGATCTCAGCCCACCAAGCTGTGGCTGCCTTGCCGTTTCGAATGGCCTTGCCCGCCTCTGCCTCCACTGGATGGGGGACAGCCACAGGGGCTCCCCTCAGCGGTCCCCTCCTCTCCCTGCAACAATTCCCCAATGGGAAACTTCGGCAAGTATGAATAAAGACACCAGCTGAGTGGCCGTGTCTGCGGACGTTCTCGGAGCTGGGAAAGGGTCCCGGCCTCAGCCAGAGGGGGGAATTTCAAAGGTCTAAAACTCTGCTGCCTGCAGGGCTGGATGGCTGCTGGGAAGATGCCAGAATAAACCAGAGGCCAAAGGGTGGGTGAGCTGGCAGCCCCTTTTGCCAAAGCGATTCTGGTACTTTAATTGCAGGGCCTAATTCAAGCCTCTTCGTCTTTGAGTCTTGGCGTCTTCTTGCCAGTAATACCAATCCCGAAGCTACAGCTAAAATGACCGTGTACAGGGATAAAAATAACCCCCTCATTAAGAGAGTGCTTACTAAGCCCTGGGCACTTTAATTTGCCTTTATAGCAACTTCAGAGGGGAAGCTGTTGACCAGATTTTACAGATGAGGAAACGTAGACCCAGGGAACATCGATTTGCCCAGGGTACCCTGGCTATTAGGTAACAACCCAAGTCAAAGCCAGGCATGAGCTAGAGGGAGATCCCCTAGTCCAGACAGCAGCAGCATCACCTCCCACCTCACCCCCCACCCCCACCATCCCCAAGCTGCCCTGCGCAAACAGCTCAGGGAGAATGTGTACTGTCTAAACACAGCTACTGTGAATGGGTAAGTGCCTCACCCCTCCTGGCCAACAGATGCCCCACCCTGATCCCTTCCTACGGAGACATTTCGGAGCTGTGAAGCACTCAAGACAGAGCAGCCTCCTTTGGAGGCCCCTCTGGTTCCGGGAGACTCGCTTCACAGCAGGGCTGGTGGGGAAGCAGGACTCTGGGCGCGTCCTGGACAGCTGTCTGGTCTCTCGCGTCTGGCCCAATGGCTCAGGCCCCAGAGGGCCCTCCAGGGACAGCCTCTGTGTGAGGATCTGGTGAGAGCTCTGGCAGCCCCGCCTGAAGCCCGCATTCCTGGGGACACTGACTCCCTGAAACACTGTTAGCATGGTCTCTGTTCCACTGAGGAGATTGAGCTGCACCCCGTTTCCTCTAAGGTGCCATTTCTAGAGCTCTTCTCTGGACACTCCATGTGCTTTATTTGTTCCTACAAACACCTGGGGCAGGAGTGAGTCTTTTCCCATTCCTAGATGTAGATACAAGGCCAGAGTGGGTAAGTGAGTCGCTCAAGTCTACGGATCTGGTAGGGTCAGAGGAGAGAGTCTACAAATCCTGAGAGCAGAAGGAACAGTTGTACTCACCCTCTGCACCCGGACAGCCACCCGGGGCCTGGGCAGGGGTCCAGGAGCTGGCAACTCCCCTGCCCTGTAGGTCCAGACCAGCCCTTGAACTTCCTCAGGATGAAATGGAGCCAAATCTCATCATTTCCCTTTGGGGGGAGGGAGAGTGTGGGCAGGCATCCAGTGTGGAAGGTTCTTTTGTTTTTGTTTTTTGGCCTCTTTCTAGTAGTAGCTGCATTGTCCTTTAGAGACCATCTCCACAATGTCTGTGTTTTGAATGGAGCAGATTCTGCTGGTCACAGTATGCATTAGTCTAGACTCAAGCTGCAGTTGGCAAACATCCGCTCCACTGGTGTAAGCAGAAACAGCACACACCAGACGTCGCACACATAAACAAAACCCTAGAAATACTAACTCATTAATGGATCAGCCAGGCCTTGCACAAGGATCGCTGGATTCTGATTCTGTTTTATCTGGGTGCTTGTAACCCCATCCCCAATACCCCCCTCTCTTCCCCTCCCCCCAAGCAGACCAGGCCAGTGAGGCTCCTGGGGACCGCAGTTTGGACACAGCCTCCTGTAAGAGATCACCCTAAGGAGCGGGCCTATTAACCCAGGAGGAAGGGCCAGTTGCCGAAGGGGGTGGGGCCAGACACCGAAAGGGGTGGGGCCGGGGGCGGGGCGAGCGAGGTGAGCCGTCGTCTAGGTAACCTTGGCGCCTGCGCAGCCGCCCCAGCCAGGCCGCGGCCAGGACCCGG